ATTCAGTTGAACGACTCTGTTTAGATTTTTCAAAAATTTTCTGTCCTATATCCTTATTAAATGAGTTATTTATTAATGAATTATTTAGACTAGAACTAGAATCAGTGGTATTAAAGAATCCATTCCTTGATTTGTTTAAAATTCGATTGTTATAAAATCATGGCCAACTACTAAAAAGAAAATGCGAAAAAAAATGGCATCAATTCCGAGATCAATTCAATGAAATGGGAATAAATCAGAAACTGTTAAAGATAGCTATAGGAACATGTAATATCAAAATATGCCAATTTCGATTCTCTATCTCATGCAATATTAAGAACATGGTCATTCCATTTAAAAAAAACTGAGTTTATAGACTTTGAAGTTTCTTAAATTTGGATCTCCATAGGTGCGGTTGTACGCAACTTAACTTTGTTTTAAGTACAGTAAAAGAAAGCCCTATTCATTCTCTATGCACTGATAAAAATAGGTTGCCATGACTACAACCGTTTTTCAAGTAATCAATTATCAAGGTACCATCTGCATCCGCCATTTTTTTCTTAAAGTCAAAATAACTTAAAAACCATAAATGGTAGATATCGACATATGGGTATCAAAAGAAGTGAAATTTCACGTAGAATCCAAAAAAGCAATAAAAAATAGGGGTTGCCATTTAAAATAACGAAGTTACTATCTACTTCCGGTGTTTCCGGAAGTGCGGCCATTTTGAAAATATTTTACATCGATTCGGCCTTCAGAGTAACACCTAAGTACAAATTTTCAAAATCCTACCTATTTTACTTTCCCAGAAACTTTTAACTAAAGCTCCCAAAAAAACACCCTGTATAGTTATTTCATTAACATACTCGAAAATACCAATATTTTCACAATGAATACCGCACATGGCAGAAATCTTAAATGCGCAAAAAATTATCTAAGAGTAAAGAACAATTAAGATTGGGATGTAGAATAAAGTGAACACGAAACTGGTCTAAATAAACAGCAAGTGTTAAAAGTACACTTGCAGAGTACATTCAAAATGGCAATAATCCTGCGTCAATGATTACACAACATACTCTTAATAGTAGGTGACTAATGGTAAACAAAGTTAATATGTATGCACCTTGACTAATTGATAATCCCAACAAATGGTAACGTATCACTTGGGGAGTGAGATACCTACCACACAATTAAATTAGATTCTACCTGGTTTGTTTGAAATGCATTTTGTGGAAATACCATCCCTATATTCACTTGACTTTTGACTTTGAATGAACGTATACACTAACATTAGAATAAATTGCACTATTGAGAGCCTGTTCATGTACCATTGTAAATAAATTAATCCATTAGTGTAATTGCATATAATCCCTTTTCACTTTTTGTTCGCAATTGATTGCAAGATTCAGAATAAGTGAATGCAGCTCAACAAATTTTCAAAATACGATGTCGCAAATGCCAATAATTTGTATTAAATGAATCGGCAAATCGTTTGCATCTCAGTGATAAAAAAACAATTTGATTTATAGATTGTTCGCCTAGTAGCAATGAATCGTCTAATTTAAATGCCCTCCAGAGAAATTAAACATTAACTTATGTAAAACAGATCGAAAAAATTCAAGGGGCGTTCAAGGAGCAGCGCAACACACAGTAAAAATTTGTGATAATTGTCTTATGCCTGGAATTCATTAGTAAAGAATCTAAGAACGCAATTTCCCATTTTCTATTTGTAAAAAAAATGCATCTGGATTTAATTAACACGTTAATTAATTGAGTGAAGGACGAGGCAAACGGTATTCGCTGCTTTAATTAAAAGTGCAATAAAGCAAAAGGAAAACTATTTCGGGGAGCGTATAGGTGTATTGCTCGGCTTACAAAATAGGAGTAGAAATTAATGCTAAAATCGTATTGTTAAACCAGAACCTGATTATTTAATCTACATACGGTTGTGCTAGTTACATAAATGCGTTGTGCAAATACACTTGTTTAAAAAAATCAACCCGGGCACAGAAATGCATGGAACAAAACGCAACAAACGCGAACACTGCTACTTGGTAAACTAATGTTAATCCAGTACCAATAAAAACACACTTAATCGCTACATATAACGTCAGCAAGGTCGCGAGTATTTTGAAATGTAAATAACGTCGTCTGTGTGCAAATTTTTTTGTCCATTTGGTCAAAGGGGTACCCGATGAGGAGAAGTCATTCCCATAAGCGTCGGTTGGTATTCCAAATTTAACCGAATTTTTTCGCTACTCACGTAAACTCACGTCATTCAAGGATCACTCTAATCAATTTGTGATTTAATAAGAAGCACGAGAAGAATATAAATATTTTAATAGAAATGACCTCAGTAATAACTTGCGTATGAATATTAGGTTGGGTTGAATTCTATATTGAGCCTTGATTTTATGTTTCTCTAAAAAAGCATTGTCAATTCAATGTGGACTGGATGGGATAGGTTAACTGTTTATTGTTGAAGAGACATACATTAATTTAATCCTTTCACTTTGTTTGTCATTTTAGCCTACTTTTTTGTGTTAGATTACGTTATTTGTAAAGCTGAACCATTGTATATGTATTAGTATACAATGGCTGTACTTTAGTTTTTCCGTACAGTACGAGAAATCAGAGGATTTTAGAAAACTGTCAATTAGCATTTTCACTACATTGCAATAGGTTTCCAAATACAAACATGTCAACGATCCCCTAAAATCTGCCCTGATAGATTTTGACTCGTACAATCGCTAGAAATAATGATATAGATGAAAAACCGATCTGAAAAAGGTTCGGTTAGTTTTGCACAATCATGTCATGACGGTTGTAAGGTATCTGATTGGATGTGGACTTTTCTGTTGTTGAATGGGCGAATGTAATTATAAACCCTACGTTCAAAATTAATATCTACTAATAACACTGATATAAACTAAGCACCTACCTGAAAAAGGAGGGTTTTTGGTGATGCATCGAAAACGAAAGAATACGTTTGGATATAGTGAAATAGTAGTAAAAAGAAAATGTTTGAATGGGAGAAATGCCCTTAGTACTATGGGCTAAACTCTAAAAACGGCTCCGTTTCCTCAATTGTTAGGGGAATTTTGTATCATTCGAAAAATTCCCCTTATGTTATAGTGTTGTCCATATGTTCCTAGTCTAACTCGAGAAAGAGAGCGATGTAAAACCTTCTCCAATCGATTTTTACGAGTTCAAGCAACAGTGCTAATGAATATGAGCCGAATTAAAAGTCTGGTTTCCGAATGCGAGCTGAGTGGCAAAAAATTCCCCTACTAAAAATCGTATGCGATTCTTCATATCTTGTTTTAGATTAGATCTTATTTTTCATATAACTGAAGTTGAATACGCGTTTGATACAAAAATAAAGTACAAAGTTGCTCAGGAAGATATGAAGTTATTTTTTACTTATTTTAAAATGTTACGTTATGTACTGTCATCTACGACTTTTATTTACGTTATTTGTGTCACTCCGAGGACTTTGTTCATACTTACATTTCGAATTTGTTGTATAGAAATTTAGTTATTTGTGCATCGAAAACTAATTTTCTTGAAATTATCATTTATACACCGATTTGTACGGACGACTCGTTGTCGATCAAAATTTTGCTTTTGTTTAATGAACGTAAATTATTGGTTCTTGAGTACTAATTATGGTTTTAGTATACGATTTACTCTAATGTTAGATGTTAGCCTTTGCTACCGCAATACTTATGTGCCAATCTACTTCATTTCATTTTTATTTTATTTTTGCCTTTTATTTTTGAGTGTGATTTCATATTGGTTTTCGATACAATCGAATTGTAATTACTACATTTGTTTGATAGTCATTTAACAATTGTAGCTTCGTTGTTTTCTGCAGAGGCCTGTTTCGATTTGGATAATTTTACTGATCCCGTTTTTGCTAAAAATTAATTTAAATTTAAACATTGACATTTCAGATCTAGATATTACAGTTTCCTATTTGTAATATTTTGAGATGATTTATTATATTATAATCGAATGTGACAATAATTTATTGTTGATGTTCTACCCATGTCAATTATTTTATTTCTTTAGCTTATCCAGACCAGAACATGGATCTCTTAGTCTGCCTTGTTACTCCTTTCGGTAAGTATTATCTCTCATTTATTTTACATTTACTAAAGACTAAGTGTCACTATCCAGTAATCCAGTTTACTATTAGGTACTATATCTCCTTACTTCGATTTGGCAAGTGTACAAGTACAGGAACCCCATAGGTATTCATCCCGACCGTAATCTACTTTGCTTGAGCTTATGGACTAAATGCATTTTTTTACTAATTTGCGACATTCATTGATAAGGCTATCCTTGTTAATCACCGCAATGATGCCGAACTGAGGATTCAATTGAAGTTTTAAAACACAACAACCTCATTGTGCTGTCATTGTCACGTATATTAATAAGTTTGGCAGAACAAACTAGTTTGATAAGCGACTCGACCAAGTGCCTGTCCACAATGACCACAATTGACAACAGCACCTTTCCCATTTGGGAAAATGTATTAAAAATGTGGGTCGTTTTTTGCAGTGTTATATTATGGTCGCTTCACATTTTCCATAAACTTTGGATATAGCCAGATGTGCGAAACTTCGGTACACCTGCGAAGAATTTGCAGCTATGCAAATATGTGTAGCCATAAGTATTATTTTATAGCGTTATCTAAAAAATAATTATGATATTCATCTACGACTGCCGGAATGGTATACACTAACACCTGTTAATGTTAAATGACTCAGCAGCGAAGGTCTTTGCAGTTAAGTGGGATAAAAAAGTGATGTACAACAACATTCTCGCATAATTATTTTTAATCCAATTCCTGTAATAAGATGTTGAAATGATATTTTTCATTTACAGGCCACTTTGTGCTTATCTAACATAAATTACCTTCGGGTATCCGATATTTGTAATTTTTACAAATAAATAAATGCTAAGTAATCCGTATAGGTAATGCATCGAAACCAAATAAGGAAAGCAGATCTTACCTGATATAGGCAGTTCGTGCAGATCGACAATGGTGATGTTTTTGTTATAGATCCATGGCGAAGATGAAGCCCACGTGTTCAAAACACCTACTTCTCCTCTGATATCACGCGTGCCACTCCTGTTAACAAACGAAAATAATCCATTTATCGTTATAATTCCATACGTAATTGGTGGTTGGGTAACGACAAAGGAGCAGAAATTGAAAATTTAAAGGGTGTAGATGGTAGGCACTTTGATTTTAAGACAAGGTTCCCAAAAATTCCATTCCTTGATGATAAATTTCATTTACCTTACTTCAACTTCGAGGATTTCCAGACCCATTTTACATTTCTAAAATAGAGAATATCTAGGTCAGCAGCTTACAGTAGTTTTTCTCTAACAGCGTCCCATAGCTATTAGTCCTATAAGTGGTTAGTATGAATATGAACCCATAGTAAAAATCCATCAATGACAATGTCTTTCATTGTTGGGTAATAAGATAGGGACCTACCAGTTAATTTTGCAAGAAAATTGTACGTGATAGAAGCTTTACTGAAGATTTATACCACTTCTACTATTATACAATGCCATAGGTAGGTAGTAGGTACCCTATTTTTCAACGCGAGAGCTGTAAGGGCTATTTGTTTCTAGTCCTTGTACTTCCGACCGGATCTACTATGATTTTAAATTTAAATAATAAGAAGAAAAGTAAGTACACGCTATTTAAAATGTATAACAAGCGAGCGACAATTTTAACAAATAAAAAATCGCCATATTACCCCTCACATTTTCTTAACAGATGCGCACTGATGTTGCACACGATTAATTCGTTCGAACTGGGTCGTTTTAATTAAGGGATTTGCTTGAAGACCCACATACCTACGGAAGAGAGCAACTAACTGAAATTCCGAACGTGGTATTCAAAGTATAAACGGAGGCAAGGTACATCAACCAATGACTAATACAGTTTTAGCCTTTATGGCAAGTTATTATAAGTAAAGAAATAAAACGTAACTTAGTTTTTCCAATTTCATGGGCAGGTGTCTTTTTGTTCACCTAACTATAAGTTGTAACATTTGTAATTACGTACACTACGAACGGTAACGTATAATTACTTCATGCCGGTGGTTTAGCTTTAGATTCGTCTGTGAACCTTGTAGACCCTGACTATTAAACGTTTAATTTATTTGTGCTGGGATGTTACGTACTATTTTATTGTTACTACGTATAATTTCTTCCCTTCCCATTGTGTTTTCATTTAATACGAAATATGTAGGTATCTGAATTTAGATTTTGGCCGGAAGCTGTTTATTAACCGTATTCCCGAAAAGGAATTAAATTGTGGATATGTATCCTGCATCTATTTGAGAATGCACGGATGAAAATCTCATGAACTGATCAAAAATTATTCCTTTTCCTAAACAGTAAGTATTTTAAAAATTCTCACATCTTAAAATAATAATAAACCTCGTCTAAAAGCGACATCATCAGAGCCGTGTCTACGGGGTCATTGGATTGGACCCATAAAAAGATTACAGCTTTGCTCTGCCGCTTAATAACATAGATTTACCCAGTTCCCCTATCACTCCTGTGGGTTCGAAGGCAGAATTTACTAGAGGTGACACCACTTCCTACGTGGACCAGATGCAAAGGGGTCGCGTTTCGTAGAGTTTATGAATTCCATTTTACAAGAAAACCAGTAAGGCCTTGCGCATGAGTTGTCACGGAAGTGAAAAGAATCAGATCCACATGGAATGGAGAACGAGTGTCGTAGGTTTGGACACTATCAGCTTCTAATTGCTGTATGATGCGATGGGAGCGGGAAGAGAACATTTCGTTGAATAGCTGTAGTATTTTGTGTGAATGTGAGGTGCACATCCACAGTTAACCCAAAATTTAAAAAAACCGTATTCTCAGTTCTAATAGTTGCCTTCAGGCACTTCCAGAAAATGTGCTAATCAATCCTCAAATAAAGTACTTGAAAGTCCCGAACGCCAAGCACGTTTAATTTGAAGGGGTTTGATTACTTTATTTATTATTTTCCCTCTCTTGTTCTGGGCTTTGAACATAAAATTTCTGGGCCCTCAACAGGCTTGCGCCCAATTTCAGAGTGACCCGTATAATGCTTTTTAGAGGTGTCTCTGCAGAAGGTCTTAAGTTGTTCTCTCCGGTATTTACCTTACGAATTAGGAAAACTGCAGGAAAACCTAATTCGGAGTAGCCGGCAGAATGCTCCAAACTGGTCTAAGGTAATTACCATCTCTGCCACAGATGAAACACATATGTACTTCAATGATGGAAATAGTAGAATGAATAATGATTTGTAATTATCATTCTTATTAATGTAATTTATAAAATTTTAGTGGGTTATACCTTTGAATATACATTTTTGTATATTCAAAGGTTCTATTGTAATTGTAATTGTGGTTCTACTTTGCAAAAGAGGGTCGAAATGATTTTTATCTATGGAGTTAACCATTGAAGCATTTTGCTAATTCATCGACAGCCTCATTTCCCAATATGCCAATATGAGATGGACACCATACGAAGACTATATTCTTGCTTGGATCTTTTGCCATAATTTTGTTATAAATCTTACACAAGTAAAACCCCTACCCCTAACTTTATAATACCTTTCACTGATTTTTCGCAGAAAATTAAAAAAACTTCATATATTAATACTAATGATTACTGCTTAGAACAATCCATCTATAAAGGTTCCAAATATTTCAAACTTTTTTACAATGACTCGCCTAAAACCTGGTTCCACAAATCTAGACTAAATCGTAATATTACAGTATCAATAATTAGATGCAGAGCAGATCACTACAATCTCGCTGCCTCATTGTTCAGGGTTAATATCGTAGATGATCCAAAATGTGCTGCGTGCGGTGATTATAATGAGGACCTAAATCATGTTTTATGGCAATTTGATATTTACAACGATAAAAGATTAAATTTAATTAAGAATATTTGCAGAGAAAGACATTATTACCGCTACACGTAGACTACCTATTGTTTTATCCTAACTCTACTGCTTGTGAACACATTGTTAAATTCTTAGATGCGATCGGTCGACCAATTTAGTTATATATCTACTAAGGAAATACTATGTAAATATTATTCTATGTATATTTAGTTTATCTTTAATAAATGATAGCTGATATAAGGCTCCTACAAGCCTTGAAAAGCTTAAATAATAATAATAAAAAAAAACCATTGAAGCAAAATGTATTACATTTTCAACAAGATTTCACTACCTGGTATCCGTTCGTGGATTTTTGCGGAAAAGATTTCCTCGCCAATTATTTGTAGAACATTAATATTATTTAATTATTGAACTGTAACAACAAGCTGTACACTATTACAGCAACCCGTGATGCATTTTAAAAAAATTCGTAGGTATATCATAGATATCAGCCTAAATATATATAACAAAATCACAAACGTAGTTGATGTGTTGCCTATAGTAACGCATTTTGGTAATTTTATGTCTAGTCGTTATAGGCCGACAAAGGTAATTGGTATCTGGTGCGTTAGTTGTTCTGTACGACTGTACGCACTGCACCCAAATAAATTTCCATAAGAATGCCGCCATAAAAACTTTTTTTAAGAACTATTTTATAAATTTTGACCTTATCTACAAAATGTTCGGGCTATTTTTTTTTTAAAGTTTATAGCAACTGAATACCGATTGTTTAAAAATTGGATGTTTTGCACCGATTATTGCGCTAGTCTGTTTTATTTTTTTATTCTCGATCAAGGCAATTTATGGAAAAAGTAAACCGACAGTTTTCTAGATAAGCTACCTTTAAACATTGCCCCAAAAAATGAAATCATATTTTTTAGCGCATTTTTGAAAAAAATACGCATTATATTCGTTATAGCTGGCTGGCCGGCTGTCCGGGTGAGATCTCAGCAACTACAATAGCTAGAGACTTCAAATTTTCACTAAAAGCTTTCTGCTATAGTGTAGATGTGCAGGCTCTAGTCTATTTTGAGTTAGATTACTTGTGAGATCGATAATTTAAGAAAATAATTTCGATATGGTGTTCGGAGGTGCTATAATTTTACCGTTAGATAGCGCTACCAGTATAAAAACTTAATTATTTACCCTCAATTGAAATTAAATAATAGTATATTAAGATACAAGTGTATAATCAAGTCTTTAAAGCTCGCGCAACGAGTTTAACGTTGCAAGTGCTTTAAAGACCAATTATACACGTGTACCTATCTTATAGTATTTTTTATTATACCTGCAGTATAATTTAAAAATAGGAAATACAATGAAATCATATTGACGTTATACTCGAATACATGTCTAATTAAGTGGGCTGGGTTTTCGTAATTTCACGATTGCCATGGAAATGTCACTTGACGTTTGCTTATAAAAATCATCGTCTTTGTGAATAAAACGATTTCCGTTGAGAAAGATAATACACCGTCCATTAAATCTAATAATTTTAAACTTCGCTAATAAAATACTGACCTGTATTACCAAAAATGCGCTTTAATCATGCATATGCTGATTTACAACTTGTTGTAAATAAAGTCTGTATCTTGGCGGGCGGTAAATCAACAATTTGAGTGACGCAAGTATGCGCAACTGCACAGTGTCAGCGGGAACTAACTAAGGACCAAAATAGGAGTTGACTAAGCAAGAATATCATCTTGTTTTTTACAACTTTAATCATCTACTATACACCATAATGTAAAATTTGCGTTTAGGTAAAGAAGACTCTTAATAAAGGTAATATTCGACATCACGCAAGTAGGTATATATAAAAAAGTGAATTGAATTTAATTTATGCATATGTTCTCACTCAATGTGATTAAGTTTATTGCTATATTTTATATTCAAAGGTTTATTGTATCTTAATTTAACGATTAATATGGCGGAGAGGACGGTAATATAAACAGCAAAAAAAGGAAAATCGGTTTTCTTTTCCAACAAGATCTCTTACTAATCATTGCAGTTCTAACTGTTCTGACCTGCAATACTACTTTTTAAACATAAAAAATTAAAATTCTACCTTTAGCCGTTCTCTATATTGTGTCAAACCCCTAATTTGGTATTGGCCTACTCTAATTTCCATTAAGTAGAAAATGGGATGGTGGGGTAGTTTGACAAAGTGTGAACTAGGCAGATTAACCAAAGAGTAATAAACCAAAGAGTAATACTCTTTGGATGAACGAATCACAATCCAAATGAAAACATCCTATTGTTAGATTTTTGTGCAGGCGAACTATGCGATAAAACCAGATGAGCACTGGAACGAAGTGGAAGAAAACTCTTTAATTACAACATAGGCAACTCGTGAAAGCAGCAAAAAAACAATTCAGCAAGATCAAGATACTTCAAGATGATGCACAAAATGTGGATAACCTTTTGTCTAAATAAACTTCTTATGCTATGTTTTCACTGATCAGTAGTGTATGAAGGAAGCAATGTTCGATATAGGTATGTACATAGCTTCGGTGTTTATTAACGAGCTCCTAGCGAGTTTATATTGTGCGGTGTCTGTCCGTCCGTCTGTCCGTCCGTCCGTTAGCACGATATCTCATAAACGAATGGATCGATTAAGTTATGAACCGAATTGCATGAATTTCAATGTGCGCATAGCTTTAGCCATAGTAAATGCAATTCCAAAAGTTGAGCCTAATCGATCAGCATTCATAATAGCATCAACATAAACTGAATTGCAAACTTTCTTATTTATGAAGTTATATTTATATGAAATTTGATACATAGCCACTTGGAATAAATCAAATATAGCGCCGGTTTCCAAATTTTGTTTTGTGCATGATGTGCAGTGCCAACTTTCTTATTTATGGAAGCAATTAAATGATATTTCATACATAACACTTTAAATAAAAGCAAAACTACCACCAGATTCAAAATTTGGTTTTGCACATGCTATAGCCATACCATCAAAATCCGGAAAATCAGAAATTAACCGCTCAAAGTCGCTTAACTAACGGAATACGGAATCACTCAATTTACGTGTTACCAATCACTAACAACTTTTTCTACAATCGATATCCAAAGTAGGCATTTGCGCTCGTATTTGACAGCGCAAACGTCATCTTTTTCGAGGAATGTCACTTTGTCGCTTATAAGCGACAAAATAGAAAAAACGCTCGCTCTCCCAATTATTAACTATAAATCAAATATGCATTGCTCAGAGTATCCAATGACAACGAGTAAATGACATCTTTCATTTGGGCATAAGATTAAAATGATTTGAGTGAAAAATTTAAATTTTTGGAAATATGTGAACTGCTCGATTGTAGAAACCTTGTGTGTAATTCGAGCGCAAATTGATTGTCGATTTCAAGAGATTGCCGCGCTCCTTCGTCGCGCGTCAACTGTCTCTTTCAATCGACAATATATCATTTTGCGCTCTTACTACACAAATAGCTATTTTCTTTGCTTTAAATTCTGGACTTTCAGAGAGTTGGTATAAAGTAAGGTTGATAGTCAAGGGTTGTATGTAAAGAAATTTTATGACCCACAAGATTACCATGTGTAAAATGCCGCTCAAGATTTTGAGCATTTAACTTAAATGAAAGATCTCGCCCTTTCTTGATAGGGCCTTACATGACATGTCAGAGACTGAAAACCGATTGCATACAACGAAATGTATATGTATCCAAATGTGTGGGGAATTTACACTATGGCTGCTGCATCTACCACTTTTACCGTGGCTGAAAGTATAATCAATGCAAGGATATATAAGGGCTGATTTTAATGAGCCCAAGTGCTATATGTCCAGAGCTATTTAGATCATCCATGTAGAAAATTGAAAAATTACTTGTAAGTGCGCCTAAGGAAATACAAAATAATTACCAGCTTAGTTGATGTGTTGCCTAAAGTAATGCATCTCGTAAGTCATTTTATGTTCTTATTTGCCGTCAAAGGGATTTGATTGCAAATAATCAAGCTAATTGTCCACACCACGTCGGTACATTAAAAATTAATTAAATCGTCTGATACTTTGCGATTTATTTTATGCAGTACTTACAGTCTTCGATAACTTTTGACTTCCATAGTTCCATATAATGTAAATAAAAACAGGAAATTAAAAATTAATCAGGCATCTGTTTTCTTTTTCAAGTAAGGTCTTCCAATGCTACCAAACATAAAAAATCAAATTTTCCTTGTTTAGACTACACCTTTTAAGCATCATCAAAAGTTAA